CTATTCATCCGGTTTATCTTGTGTCAGCTTTCAGGCGTTGACAAAGAGAGTTTTAGCACCCACGTTGACAACATCTTTAGGGATTCTACTTCATAGTCATATGAAAGATACATGTTTGGCTGTTGTTTACAACATTTTCATTCTTTGCAGCCGAAAACCTTTGATTTTGCTGACACAAACAATGGGTGCTGTTTCGTGTGTCGCTTTTTAAATTGCGTAGAAAGGTCGGGTGCAGTTCAAGTTTTGAAGTGTAGCTGCTGATAGATGATGACCTCTGAATAAATGACACTTGAAGCTGCTTGAGCTAATGTTCACTTCACTGACTGACAATTTTAGGTAGGAGATTAAAAAGCGCTCAACAGTGGATGAACAATTGGTTCCTCACCCAAAATAGGTCCAAAGCTAAACATGGCTGCAGCAGATTATATGAGTTTAATAAATGGTCCATGTAATAATAAACACTGCCCACTTTTCTGCAATGCATTTTTGCCTCATAACAATGTTGCTTTACAAGCCCAGTCAGTTTTTAGTACCTATTTTACATGTCTTCTCTAATGTTTGAAAAAGATTTAAATATGTAATTAATTATTTTTTTACACTCATTGAAGTGCCCCTGAATAACAGACACTCAGTTGTAACATATAAATCTGACAGAGAAGCACCGTCACTCCCATGAAGAATTACAGCAGCGTGTGCCCTGAAACCTTCTTCATTTATCACCATCTTTAATAGTGGACTGCTGAGAAATTACTTAGTGTGATTTATTTAAATGGGAAAGTGAGCTGGATCTTATATGCAGCTTATTAATTTCATAATGTGCTGAAGAGTGGGCTGATGACAGAGATTGAACGTGTGTCAGGTGCGGTGCCAAGCAGGTGCTGGACAAGAGTTGGCTTTGAGTGTTTCCTGTCATTTAGAGCCTTGTTTGTGCTTCACGTCTAGTGTTTCTACATGTTATTGCATAAATTCCAAAACACAGTGCAATGCACACACAGAGCTGACGCGTTGACTACAGAGCTCGACTCATATTTCATTCACTTGGATGGAAATGGGTTTAAATGTAATTACAGTAAAGTAAATGTAAATTCGTTTGACATTGATTTTTCTGATATTTTGTGGCAAGATCTCAAAGACGAACTGAGCTCGGAGGCTGAGAGGCTTTGGTTTAAGTGGCTAAGATTGAAGGTTTGTTTTTAAGTATGTTTTCTAATACTGAAGAAGTGAAGTGTTTATGTGTGCTCCTGTGGGGGGAAAACAAAACTGTCATTTCCCGTAATGGACTGTCATGAAATTCTGCCAGTGTAAAATTCATTAAATTGTTTACCAAATATCCAATAGCCAACCAGTCCTCCAACCTGAACAACCATGTAGGTGGTTTTTTTCCAACGCTCTGTTACAACCCATAGGAGTGTCTCCTGAAATAGCGCCCCACTGCTGCAGGACTAGACCTTGGTTGTCATTGTTACGATACTTAACACGTGGACTGTACCGACAGTGGCGTACCTGCTTTCGTCACCATGGTAACTATGACAACCTAACAATTTGGTTACATTTAGGTACAAAAACTACTTGATTAGCTTTAGGAAAAGACAGCGATTTGGGTTAAAATAAGTACTTCCTCAACATTAAACCATCTTTGTTGTCATGGTTACAATATATTACTTTCACATAGGAATAGACAGTCTCCCAACAGCAGATTTTCTAACAGCATGACAAACATAACCGACTGAAAGTGATGTAGTAAATATGTATTGTATACTGTAGGTATATATCTTTTTTTCAGGAAAACTGAAATTAAAATTTTGTATCTTCAATTTTCTCTGTGTTAAATCCATATTAAGTGTTAAAACATTAAATCTGCACTCCACAAACTGCTAAAAATCACATTTGACCTTTTATGGTTGAATGGAACCTCATTATCGTAAATGTGAAGTTGTGTTTTGTACTGTCAGTCCAATATTCAACCTCCTTTCAGCACTGGTTTGGCTAATATATTTTAGGAAAATATCTGGTTCTGTAGCCAGCTTGATGCTTCAGTATCTTCACCAGCTAGCTGCTAACTTTGTTCCTAATCAACAGGCGGTAAAGTTGCAGTTTGTGAAACCGAAAACATTGAGCTGAAAGACACTAAAGAGGAACTGTGGAGATCTGCTGAGTTGGGTGATAATGTGAGCAATTCCTCAACAGAACCATATATTTTAAACCTTTTGTTGTGAGAAAGCAGACCCATCGATTGCCAGAGCAGACATCTGACAAGATACACCCTGAGGCACAGCAGGATGAATAATTCAATGGGATAGTTGGAATAAGAGGAATATTTAGAGTGAGATGCAGCGATTGACCGCAGTGTTCTCCTGCCACTCCCTGCTGCTGCAGTTTTACACACAGCACACTGCCAAAAGAGAAGAAGAACATTTTTAATAATATGTTGAAGAGACAACAGATTTGTTCCATGCTCAAGGGAGGGAGGCATGATGAACAGTAAAATAATCAAAAAAGTGTCCTCATTAAACATGCAAGGGAGAAATTTGATTCAGGGTTTTATAATGACGAGCCACCAGAGACTAAAATTGCTGAAGATAATGACGTTTGCTGAAGTGAGCTCAGACACAATTTCTTTCTACAGACGAGAGATTCAGAAACTGAATGAAGAGGTGACCTTCTTTCTCTTTGTGGGAAACTGGAAAACACAGCCCCGTAACCTCTTAGAGCAAACCTGTTTTAAACCTAATTTACATCAATTCACATATGTAAATGTATTAAGCTTATAACAGAAGAGCTTCAAGGCCAAAATGCATTTATGAGACCTCATTTGAAAGGTAACATATTTTAGTTTCTGAAAATGTGCTTGTTTTGCATGTGACTACAACCCAACCTAAACTGCATCAGCTCATACATGGTATTTTTTTTTTGTATTTTTCAGTCCTTGCCTGTAAAATAGTCATATTACATAATTACCAATAGTATATACTTTATACAGGAACAATGAAAAAGCTCCATAATACCATTTTGATTTTTGTGATCTGTGGACCCTTACGGACTAAAGGAATACAAATAATAGAGGAATGGAGCAAGAATTGGAGTTCTACACGTCTAAACAGTAGGCAGTCACCACGCTCCACTGGTACAGAATGGTAAAATGAACTGAATATTTGAATCCTATAGACTCTAACCGATCTAACGAGGTGCAGCCTGTCAATATTGACAAAAGTTTACTCCTGTTCAGAACCTTTGACTGGGCTCGTATATGGGCCGGCGGGCCCTATGGTGCTATTTTTAGGTTTTGCTCTTGCTACATAGCCATCATTAGCATTATCAGCAGTTTACTTGCCAGTCTAGAAGAAATGTTGTGAGTTCAGTATCAAACTTCATTCCGTTACTCACCAAGAGCTGCGTCCAGAGGTGGCAAAGAACGCCAATGTTAACTATTGTTCACGATGTGTTAAGTGAGGTGAAGTGTGTGTGGAGTACAGCTTCCCTTTTCTGGTGTAGTGCATATGGATACCTGTATCATTTTAGATGTGCGACGTAACTGATGACATGTGAAGACATTATCATCTGTACCATGTGCCTGCTTTTTATTGAGCAACCCAACATAAGACCTCTGAGAGAAATGATATTTAATACTTTTAGGTTAATAACACTGATTGGTATTGATTGGTTGTATTTGCAATGGATCCACCAAGGAAAACCCGAAGCTACCTATCTTTGTGCTAAACTAAACTAAGCTAGACTGGGTTCAAGATAATCTGTATTATCCCAGAGGAGCAACTTGTTGCACACACAGCAGTAAATAAATACCATAAATACAATAATCACACGGATCAACCTACACAATTTACACTAAAGACAAAGAGTAAGATAAGATTGATCGAAAAACCAATGGTAGCAGGGACAAATGGGTTTTTAAGTTTATTGGTCCTGCATCTAGCCATAGTATATTTGCGACCAGATGGGAGCAACTTACACTCACTGAACAAGGGGTGACAAGCTAAGCTAAGCTAACAGGCTGCTGGCTCCAGCTACATATTGATTGTACAGACATTAGAGTCGTATCAATCTTCTTATCTAACTCTTAGCAAGAGAGCTAGAGCGTATTTCCCAAAATGTGAAACTATTTCAAGCCAATATTTCCAAGCATTCATAACACACAGATGCATAAAATGAAAAAATATAAAATGGTGTTCCTATCCTTTTCTGCTCTTATAAAGATATTTTCCTTGAAGTTGCACAACTGCTGTACAAGCAACGTGCATCCCTCTGCTGTTCCTCATGAGGCAGCTCAGAGCTTCCTCGAGGCGAAGGTAGACACGGGTCTGCCCAGAAACTAGAGCAGGAAGGCAAACAGGGAAACTCTATGCAAAACAGCTGGTGTTACCTTGTGTTTCCTCTGACATTGTTCCACTACCTGTGATGTTTTGTCTGTTTGAGCATGCCAGCTAATGCAACCTGATCCAGTCCTAACAGAACTAACCGTAGACGAAACATAAAGTAAAAATTCCCGGTATTCCCAGTATGGTCACCTTGATGTCATTTCTCCTTTCATCCATTAACAGTAAACATTTTCCCATCAGAGCACAAAACCAGGTTCTTTTCTCTGTATCCATGTCTCTTACCACAATAAGAGAGTTGGCACTTTGTTTCTTATGAGGGGAAGATGAACCCTGTGATAAACTGTATGTTTGGCATGGCACTCTGCATATGGCTCACATCATCATACCACTACCAGATTGGGGGTGAGACTTGGAAATGGATAATATGTAACTATGGCAGTTGGAAAAGAAAACATATAAAATGTTACAAGATAAAATGCTGAAAAATGGTATTGAATCCAATCAAAGCAACCCCCAGCTCTGGCTTGCATGCATCTGTCACCATCCCAACTTGCCACCGCAGCTTCGCACCTCAGCCTCAGCAGCTTGCTGCTCTAAGTCCCCCCCCCTGTCTCAAATACTGTCTTCTGTCCTTCCTCTCTGCTTGCCTACGCTGGCGCCCACAAGGTCGTAATATTTTTCAAGGTATGTATGGATACACACTTGTTAAACTCTCAAAAAGAGCTGCCATCTTCCTCATCATGTGGAATATATTTGCTATTTCTGCCCGGTAGCGTGCTGTCTGTCTGTGGCTCTCTGTCCGGAGAGTTGGTGGTATAGAAGATGTGCGTCACTGCTTTCAGCCCCCCTGCTGCAGGCTGGATAGCTGGCTAGCACCTCAGGAGCCAGGCAACCATACACATAGCAGCAACCCTAGAGTGTCTGGCACCATTGCAACCCAGTGACTGAGCTGCAATGTCAAGCAAGGTGTCATATGCTGACTGATTGGAAATGCTAACTCATTAGCATCCATCAATCAACTCCCCTTGTCGCACTACAACTTGCACAGAAGGTGTAGTCTCTGAAGCCCAGAACAAAATGGATTTGTTCCATCAGGAGCTTGCCATTTTGATTCAGGTGGCAGGTAGTCTGATACAGAGTTAACATAGTGAGGTAGATTGGTATTACAGCACATTAGCCACATTTAAGATTACAACAGAGGCTGTGGCCAGTGTGGAATCACCACAGTTACAATGGATTCCAGTCATGACAAGTTTTCGTGGTGAAAGAATTAAAGAAAACTTTTCCTTTGCACAATATGTTTCAGTTGGAGGTCTGGATGGGTCCAAATGTTTGTTTGTGATCTGAAATAGGTCAAACCTAGTCACGTCAAGTCAAGTCAAGTCAAGTCAAGTCAAGTCAAGTCAATTTTTATTTGTATAATCCCCCAAACCTGTCATGTAATTCTTTGTTCTTTTTTTTCTTTTTTTTTAAATAGACCCGAGATACACCAGAGGATCATTGGACCCAATCCAAAATGTAGTCAGCACACTACAATAGAAAGCGAATACTGGCAGCACCATGCATGAGTCAGCTTGCTCAGGCTATGTCCACACTACTATGTTTTCATTTTAAAACGATCTCTGTCCAGACGACTGTTTTAGCTTCATATTAGAAACGATCTCCATCCATACTATCACACCTGAAAACACACACATACATGACCATTCACGTACACTGGGCGTGCCAGTGTAAACAGGAAGTGGATTGTCTACTCTGCAGTTGATTAGTTGCAAAAAATGCTACAAATGAGGAACAGCAAAGACAGTTGTAGCGTTAAAATGCAGAATTTAACTGCACAACAGCTGCTAGCAAAGACAAGAATTCTGTTTCAGGTGTGATTTGCAAAGTTTTTATGGACATTTTGATAATTCTCTTTTTGCCGTGAAAACCTTTAACTATTGGAATCCGTTGCAACTGAAGCTGAAGTTCTGTTATCAATATTTATAAATGCCTGTATTACATTATACATTAGCTTGTTGTCATCTTGTACTAGCATGTCAGCTACAAAGTCAGTTGAGCAGGATTGGTCGTGACCTTTAAGAAGTTCCTGAGCCCATTAAATGATATGGACTTCATCTTGAGCGTGGAGATTCTGGAATTCTTTAAACTTTAATTTCCTGGGGAGAAAAACATTTGAACAACTGACCTTCAGAAACTGTATTTCTGAACAAACACAGTGTAGGATTTTAAATAAACCATGTCATGAAACTTGATATTCATTGTTTTCTAGGTTACCGAGATGCTTTCTAGGGCATCCCATTAGTTTGTATTTCAACTATTTCATGATGCTTTGGCTCTTTACTCCCTTCTGTATCGTCCATATTGATTTCTGTGCCACTCTGCTGTCCTTGCTGAAAGCAATCTTTCTCATCTCCATTACCACAAAATGTTTTTCATCCTGTATCTCATTTATATTCTGTTCCACAAGGGGAAAGATTTTCATTCCCCAGTTTGTGGCACACCCTGTTCAACAGAAAAATGTCTTTTATTGTCTATAAGTATATTTAACATATTTGCAGATAAGAATATTCCGGATATCTGCAATGACATTTGGACCAATCAGAGTAGCTCCGAGTAAGACCTTTGGTGACTGTTTCTAAGTGACTATATAAATATCTTCAAAGTGTTCCTGAGGACTTTTGACTATTTGGCTGGAAATGCAATCAAATGCGAAACTTAAAAACTGTAGTAATCAATATTTCTATATTAACAATAAATTTAAAAATTTAAAATTTACTGTGTGTAATATGAAAGAGGTTGCTCTTCATGACTAATCTACCTAAAACTATAGTCTATCTTGCGATGATCTCACACCAGCTGCGACACCCGTCAACATGTTGACGTTCCGACTGTACTCATATGTCGATACACACCCATCTTCAAACGCTGCCTTCATTTTGATCTCAACTACACACCTGCAAAGTCACCTGACTGTATCTTTAAAACCCTAACATGCTGAACTAGCACTTATATGCACTTTCGATACACTTCTTTACCTGATCTTTTTGCATTTTGCCTTATTGAACAGATTTACTACTTAGTACTTAGTTTAGTGTTTTCCCTCACTTGTAAGTCGCTTTGGATAAAAGCATCTGCCAAATGAGTAAATGTAAATGTAAATCTTGCATGATTGTGACGCTATTGTTGTGCCAAAATCTGTCCACAGACATATAAACACCTGCCAAAGAACTCAAAGCCTCAGTAGTTCCCGCTACAGTATGATCTCCGGGACCACAGTGCTACAGCGACGCACACACAAACACACACACAGACTCACAAGGTGAAAAAACACAAGCCACGCTGTCGCAATGCTCCTCAGCTTTGTAGTGTGTTTCAGTGCATTGTTGTAGTTTCATGGGCCGCAACTTTACCGTTTTGTCGACTTTACAGTCCAGAACCACAACTTTAAATGAATGTTAATGTAGCTCCGTGTCTGATGAATATGAAAATAGCCAATGCTGACACATTCACCCCTTAAACTTTATAAGGTCAATATTTGTCAATGTTGAGATACAACTTGTTCTACTGCCCAAAACAAACAAAAAAAAAAGGAAAAAATTTTGAGCAGTTTTACCTTTACACATATCTTAAATTTGATTTAGGACCAGATATTATTGAAGTGGACACAAATAAAATTCACATTTTAGAGCTTGGTATAAACAAACTGTACTACATACTGTATATATAATTTATCATCTTTGAGGCTGTATTTCTTTGTGTTGTTGGATTGTTTTTATGGTCCTTGTTTTATTTTGGCTGTGCTGTACAAGATGTTTGACATAAGCACACTGAATGAGGCTACTAAGGAATTCAGCAACCATGACAAAATCCTCTTTGGGATAATAAAAACGACTAAAGTCAAGAAAGGGAAAGAGCTGATATTTATCGTAAGTGAAAGGCCCCTTTAAGACTTTCTGACACACTGGTCTTGCTCCGTCTCACCTGTGTCTGGCCAGACTACAGGGGTGCAGATGATGTGGGCATGATGCCAGTACTGCAGTGTTTTCTATCTGTTTGTCTCTCTGTCTCTACTCTCCCACTCCCTCTTTATATCTACTGTCTTTCAATTTCTACATTGATATGCAGTTGTGTATTATACATTGTTGTGTTTACATATTTAGCTCATATCCTCCTGTGTCTATTTCTTTCTAACTGTATATAATACCTCCGGATGCAGTGATCACTGTGATTTATGATTATGTTACATGTGATTGATGAGAATTTCCTGTCAACAACTGGGTTGTATACTTTGTATGCAGACATGATTAGACAGTAATTAAAGTTTGGGAAAGTGTCCTCAGACTTTTGGACCCAACTGTATATACCTGGATCTGTCCATGAAACAGTTTTTGTTTCCCATCCATAGCTTTTCTCCTAATGAGAAAAGCTCAAAAGCATTGCAATTTTGTGCTATTTTGGCACGAGATCAAACTGATAAGTGCTGATCTTAAATTGCTGCAAGGGCAGCAGCTTCGACATGGGTGGATATTTATTCATGTGCCAGCTGGTTATGGATTAACACATTGAAAAACACACTGACTACAAGGAAAGTCAATACCATCGCAGCAAAGTAACATGAGTCTAACCTGACTCTCAGTTGTCCACATACAGTACATCTGCTGTTGCAAGCAATGGTATTAATTATTTAAGGAATTAATAACACTGTTAAGCATTTACTTATGAGCAAAACCAGCTGGCAGGTCACCAGTATGTGCTCTAGACATAATTTATCAAAACAGACTTATTCTAACTGTCAATTTCTCTGAACTGTTGCTGCATTATTTCTCCATCTCCTTTGCACAAAGGCATTGCCACTGATTGGAGATGAACACTGCTGATATATAGATAATATTTTCTTTCCATCAAACCATCATTTGTAAAACTATGTTTAAACTAATGTAGTATTTTGGAGGCTGATGCCACTTTGTGGTGAAGCTGCTACATTTTCACTACCTTTGAAACTGACAAAATAAATGTTTATTTTTAGCCCCCCTGAGGTCAGCAAGAAGGGTCTTCAGTTCCCAACTTGCTGGACCTGGCGGCTGCCTTTAACACATTCAACCAACAAATCCTCTTGTCCACACTATCTGAAATCTACATCTCTAGTCCAGCACTACTCTGGTTTGAGCCCTACCTCACAGGGTTAACAAACTTTTCCACTGGATTACCACAGGGATCTGTGCTTATGATTTCTGTTAGCAATAGACCTCACCTCCCTTCATCCTATTATACACTAGCATGGTTTGTCTAACCGCCGCTATGCTGATGACACCCAACTTTATCTGTCATTTGTGACAGACAACTCTAGATCTCAGCCTGCCTCAAAATGAATGAGAAAGTGCTATCTTTAACTCAGTCTCTATAAGTCTGAACTCTGAAACTCTGAAAGTGTACAAGAAACCTGGGCATTGGGATTGATGATGAACTTTTACAGAGCATTTAGCATCTGTCACTTGGTCGTGCCGCCTTGCATGATATAACGTGATAAAGATGCGGTTTTATCTGACTGAATATGCTGCCAACTCTTTGTGCAGGTGCTTGCCATCTCTTGTCTTGATTACTTTAATGCCTTTCTGGCAGGGCTGCCAGAACGCACAATAACTTTTGCAAGTGGCTCAAAGTGCTGCATCACGTCTGGCCCTCAACCAGCCAATGACAGCTCATGGCACCCCAGCCTATCTGTATATGAAAAATAACTATGGGAAGTCTTGGTCTAAACTCTTCTATTGTTTGGTTCAGTGGTTGTAAGTTATCAGATTTGATTTGGATTGAGAATCAAGATTTTGGATTCCTTCTCTCATCAAAAGTCACTTGAAGACCCATCTTATGAGAGTATATTCACCTCGTATGCTCTTTCTCTCTGTCGCTCTCTCTTGATTCTCTGGCTCTTTCTCAAAAGTTGTAATTTGCCGGGCTCTTATATGTTGCTTCATACACCTGCAAGCCTTGCGTCAGGTGGAAAGTGAGTGTTTAGGTAATTATTCTTGGAGGCTTCTCTGTGATGTACTGTAGCTCCAATTGTGCCTCATTTATACATCTGTTTGAATAACAGCATCTCCCAAATGAATAGACACAGAAACTCACACTTAAATGCTCTTAAAGGGAGGAAGTTTCAACAGTGTATGGAAGTGAACTGCTGTATTGTTAGCTTCGAATGAAACACTTGCTTTGTGTATTTATTCAGCTAGTGTTGAAGGAAAACACAAATGAAATAGGAAACACAGAGGAGTCTATCAGTGTCCAGTGTCAGTGATGCATTTGCTGTGATACATCATATTTGCAGGACGGATGGTCTGTGGGAGTATTTGCTGTAAAGCCTCGCGGGGACAAATCACTTAAAACAATTTGTGGCAGAGTAACACTTTGCTGCCCCCGAGGGACAGGCATTTCAGTCTGGTAAAACCTGATTTATTTTCAGAGCCTCAGTCTGATTGCTTAATGCAGTTACCATGGTTACCACTTCGTGTGCTCAGGCAGCAGTGATGTGCTTTGGAATTTCTCTATCTGCCTAACCCCAGCGTTTGATTTTTTTTGTACCTTTTCGTCTCTGCGGCAGAGACGGTTGTTCTGCGAAGGCTTTTCAATTTGTGTTGAAATGAGAACATGTCAGTGTGTCTGTGGCCGACATGAGCGGGAATGATGGTCCATCTGTTTCTTCCATCTGATTTGAAATATTCATACCTCCGTCTCAGCTGGACTCATCTCCATTTTGATACAAAATAATCTGCTTTAAAGTGTAGGATATGCTGAAAGATAAGGAATTATGTGAATTTTGTAATCAGAAATCAGGGTAAAAGCAAGTGTACAGATCATAGAGAAGCATGGACTTAGATACAGAAGTTGGTTCTCCTGTTTTATGCCTCACCTGAGTGAGATAAAACTAAACCGTTTGGCTTTTTGTGTGGGTTTTAGACTATTCCAAAAATATTATTGCCAATCTGTCTGTCTCTTACCATCTGGTGATCACGGCGCTCATAAAGCTTACCAGCCATATCACATCTTTGCTTTATCACTTCCTTTGGTAACACTGAAAGGTTGCCTGTATCTATTCTTAACAAGCTTTGGAATAAAACATCTGATATAGTGATTCATTTTTCTGTTTCCCTGAAGCTTTTCACTGCCTGTCTGGCAAGCTACAGATGCTAAATGCAGCTTTACAGTTCACCAGAAGTTTTCCTCAATGTAAAGTGAAAAATTTCCACACACAGTGACGTTTCACATAATGATTTTCACCTTACTAATTATAGATTCTAGGTGAAATACTGATGAGTCATCCCTCTTGATAGCCAGATCTTAGGTTAAATTATATACAGAGGAGGAAGTGACATTAATGATACTCCATTACAATTAAAAGTCCTGCATTCACCTACAGAAAAGTTGTCAGTAAAATTAGGTTGTGAATACTAATGCTCTTTGGTGGAAAGGTTAACGACTCATAGATAAGGGGCCCTCAGGAGACGATGCTTTTTTGTAAGGGGTCACAAACCAAACCACTAGTTTTATCTATAATAAGCGTGGGAATGACAGATGTGCAATTGCTGTTATTTTTAATAGTTGCATAATATTTCTACCACCTTGTTTGTCTGTGTAATCCTTTAAAGGGAAACTCTGGCAGTTTTACGCAGCGCAGCTGTTACAGGTTGTATAAAGTTCTATAAAGTTATTTGTGGCTCCTGTGGTAGCTGTGTGAAGCCCTATGAATGTATTCAAGTGCTGAGTAACTGTGGGTTGTGTCTGTAGATAACAAGTTTGAAAATGTAAAAAAACACCTGTGCATGGAGTTTGAAAGAAGTTAGTTTGCCAGACCTCAGTAGCGTGCTGCTCACCTCTTTATGAGGCTAGTGGCTTGAGGCTACATTAGCTGCTGTCGGCGGTTGAGTTGCATTGTGGGTGATGTAGGTGGCAGGTTTTTGGCAAGAAATAACAATGTGTGGAATAGAAAAGATGGTGTCCCTGGTTGTGCTGCATTGATTATCTTCTAACACTGTGAGTGGGACAGTGTTGGAGGAGTGCTAAACTCATGGCATACACTTTTAATGAATGTATTTACTTCAGAAATCATCTAACTTAACACAATTAAAAAGCAAAACATAATGGACGTGTCATAATTTCAAGCACTTTAACTTTAACTCTGAATTCAGACATGTTTCTGAATATTAATTTGAAACTATTTTCAATGACTATCAATGTTCAGTCCGCAGATCTCAGAAGTTCAACTAATATTTTGCTTACAAGATAAACATATAATTATGGGGGCTTTGGTAAAAGTGGGCTTTGGTTATAATTTAGTATTACTTTTTCCTTCTGATATGATGTTTGACATGCTCAGAATTCATGTTTAGTGATCATTCTGGCAATAAATTCATGCTGAAACATAAAGAAAATAATCTCTACCAGAATCTATCAGTCATTTTCAGTATCTTGTAAACATCGTTCTTCTCCTCCACCCTTCCTCCTCTTCTTCTGTCTCTCTTTTCGCAGACCATGCAAGCGGCGCGATGCCCGACAGATGAGCTGTCGCTGACTAATTGTGCCGTGGTGAGCGAGAAGGATCTGCAGTCAGGACAGTGAGTAGTCATTATCGCCCATCCATTGTTGGGTTTGTCAATAACAGCGAATAAACGAGGGCATCTCTCATTTTCTCATCTATTCAAACACCCATCTATCCACCCACCTGATTAGCCATCATTTATCCAGAAGGTCACAGTCAATAAAGGCTTTCAGCATGTGATTATTTTGCTTTGCATTGTAATAATGATAATTAAAGCTGTAGGAATATGCTGTAAAAAAAAAAAACAGATAGGCAATGACAGAATATGAATACATTAAATGTCTATTGCAGAAAAAAAAATGCAGACCATGTAAAGTAGTATAAAATGGGTTTGATATAATGAAAATCTCAAGGATGATAACTTAAATCAGTGTTGTGGGAAGTCTTTCGCCTGTCATATGTTTACTGTAAACCAGGGGTTGTTATCCATATGGGTCAAACAGACACTTTAAAAAGCAAAAACCTTACTGTGGATATCCATGTTATCACACCTTATCAGTAACTATGTACTTCCCACTTTCGACTTACCACATTCAGCAATAAACAAATGCAGCACAAGTCTGATGTATTGGCATCACCTTGTACTGAAGATTCAGACAGTTATTGCTGTCATGTGGGTGGACTGACAAGGAATATGCTTTTGTGCAGCTTTTGTAATAATTGTTAATCTCAGTGATTAAGTGGGAAGTTACACATACCATTGTTTTCTTATTTTCTGGAGTCAGTTAGTCTCTGTGAAATAAAATCTTCTCCAGTGGGTTTTGAGGCATGATAAACATTCAGACACTTCAGATCTCATTGTGTGTCATTGTATGGATTATGATACACATACTAGGGTCGCACCAACATTAGCTGCTGTCGTTTTAAAAATAAGATGAACTATAGATTATCCAAGACAAACGCGAGCACACATTATATACCTGCTTTAAAGTAGCAGCCAACTGACAGGTCTCAAAATAAATGGGTAACCTCAGTTTACTGACATGGCAACTGCAGCCTTGTTTTAATCATTCAGTGCCGCTAAACAGGGGTGTTGGTCTTGCAGTGCTGCCAATAGTTTTTTTTTTTTTTTTAGGTTGAACACCAGTGCTTGCTATTGCAAGTTAAAATTCATCTTATTAAATAAATGCAGCACTTTGTAGTATGCTGGCAGTCCACTGACCTAAAGAAGCTTCTATGGTAGATTACCTACAAGGAAACATGAATCTTTTAAAATGAAGGCGTTAGTAAATATTCAACATATGCAATGTTGTAAAATAATGTCATATACTATTCCTCAGCATCAACATCAGAGGAGCTAAATAAATAAATAAAAATCTCTCTCTATAAAACTCATAAACTCTTTTGATGAGTGTTGTAGGAATGAGGTGGCTCACACGAAGAAGGTGGGCGGTGGTATCTTAGTAACCATCAGACACTAACCAATTACAAGTCATCAGCAATGTATCTATGAAAATTGTGTAATGAGAGAGGATGACAAACCCACCTAGAATTGTGACCCACCTGTGATTCCTTTAGCTCTGTGGACCTTTGTAGTCTTTTTTTGGCCTGCCTTGGTTTTTCAGCAGGTAGCTGCCTACCCACCAGCAAACAGCAGTCAGCAACTGGCTGCTAAAGCTAGCAAAACAGAGCCTGAATATTGACGAGAAACATGATTCCAAATGAATGCTAATGCTGCTCCATGTCTTCAGGATTAAATATACCTTTTTAAGATAACATTATGTCAGTGTTGTGTTTAAGCTAGTTTTGCTGTTCCTAGAAGGCCAAAAAAATTGATAAATGCAACTTCAATCTCTAATCCTAACCCTAATTTTGCTATTGCTACACATTAGCATTGACTGTTGTTTACTTAGCAGTCTAGAAGAAACGATTGAGTTCAGCATCGAACTTCATTCTTTTACGCTAACCAGCAAGTTCCGACTCTTCTCGTCACTTTAAACCTGCCCTGAAGACGCGCCCCTCACAGGCCGTATAACCTCTTGTCTTGTAAACGCAACAATGGCCAGAGCTCTTGTCAAAAAGCAATCGCCACCACCCACTCCTGGGCAGGGAAAACTTTCATCTAAACCCCTTCAGATAAAAGTAAAAGTTGAGGTCAAAGCACTAAGTAGTTTGGATAATCAGGGTCCAACTGTCTCCTCTCTCTGCAGACATGTGACTGTGAAGACGACACCCAACCACAAGTTTGTGTTTACAGTCAAGACCCACCACACTGTGGCACCTGGAACCATCGCCTTCAGCCTGCCACAGGTATACACACACACACACACACACACACAAACACACACACAAACACACACACACACACACTCTCACATTGTTAATTAATTACCAGTTCTCAATGCTCAGTCTTTGCTAATATTTCTCTCCCTTATCTCTGTTATAGAGGAAATGGGCCGGTCTCTCCATCGGCCAGGAGGTGGAAGGTAGGATAGCCTTTATTTAACGGCTGAATCTGATAGTATACGAAACAGAAAATCAAAGCTCTGTTGCTGTGATTGATCGTTCATTAAACCATGCCCCTTTAGTTATTCTAGATAGATACATCAAGCCTTAAGACACATATGTAGTTTACAGTTTACAATGATAACAGTGAAAGATTTACTACCAGAAATTCTTAGTTATTTTGAAACAGTGGATGCTTTGTTTCAGTCAGACGTAGACAAAAGCAGCTTTTCATTTCTGCGTGGCAGCCATTGATTTTGTGAGCCGATCAGCTGTAGCTAGCTAGTTGATTAAGCTAATATTAGCTCCATGAGCTGGTTGAAAACACTCCACTGTTCTCTCTTTTTATTAATATATAGAAAAGATATTAAAACAAGGACCCTGTACATTAGTCATAAATGTACTTGATGGCTGCATACATGATATTGTAAAAGACTAATAAAGCTGCATGTCTCAGGTAAGAACTTAGCTGTTGATCCATGAAGAAGACATGGAAATATAGCTGTTTGTGTGGTTGGTTGGTTGGTTGGTTGGTAATATATATATATTGTATATATATAATCTGAAATTCCACAATCTAATGTAGTTAATTACATACAGTCTTTGTCTTATTTCTGAAATAATCAATAACTACTGAAAGATTGTTAGCCAGCCAGACATGCTAATGAACGCAGCTTAAGCAAATAAAAGTACTTTTATCAGTTTTGCTCTTACTAATGCTGCCCTACTGTAGTGCCACTTCCGCATGTGAGAGGCTTTACATGGGTCGTCATGATTGCAACAGGAAGCTATGACTGGACAGTGGCTGGACAAATCAATAACTGTTTGTGTTTGAATGCTGCCTCCTGCTGGAGCAAACATTACTTTTTCCACATTACAATCAGAGCATTATCACTTTCTGTTTATTTCAAAGTAGCTGTTTCCATTGAAAGACTGAATTCTGAACTGTTCAAGTCTAGGCTTAGATGTTGCATTTATGCTCTGATATGTTTTGTGCAGTTGCTTCTTCTTCTCTTTTTGTTAAAAAACACAACAAAGCTTGAAATTCCGGGTGTTGTAGGAGATAAACTTGCCTCCGTCTGTCCCCTCAGTGTCCAACTACAACTTCGACAAGTCCAAGCAGTGCATTGGCGCCATGACAATCGAAATTGACTTCCTGCAAAAGAAGAGTACCGACTCCTCTCCCTATGACTCAGACAGGATGGCCGCCGAATTCATCCAGCAGTTCAACAACCAGGCCTTCTCTGTCACCCAGCAGGTTTATATTCACATGCCTCAAAATAACCAAGCTCACAGACACAAATACACACACATGGCTTTATTCTTTGGTCGCTGATGTTGCTTTGCAGGATTTTTTGACCTTGCTCCTGCTTCTCTGTCTTTCAGCTCGTGTTTACTTTCTGCGACAAGCTGTTTGGCTTGGTGGTGAAGGATATCGAGGCTATGGACGCCAGCATCCTCAAGGGAGAGCCAGCCTCTGGAAAGAAACAGCAGAAGGTACATGACCTCTATACTGAGCCCAATATATCACTGCTCTCAAGCCTTTGTCAGATTTGAGTTTTGCTGAAGTGGCTCAGGGTTATTAACCTCAGTCTGCTCAGACTGTGACTCTATCTCTTTTTTAAATGTCACAAAATGGAAATCTTTGTGCCAGGCTGTAGTCAGGCTGTTACTGATCCCTTTCACCTTTGATTGGATTGTCTCTTTGATTCAGTTCTGCCACCAGTGGGATTTTATTGATTGTTCTGGACACACACATTCACACACATAATTGAGCTCTAATTAATACATAACAGAGTCAGCTTCAAGTTTAATTGCTTTGAAGAAATGGCGCAGGCTGGTATTGATCAATAAATCAGGACAAAGGTATTTGACATATTACAGTGGCGCATTGTTAAATGATGTATCGTATGTATATCACACACTACTGCTGTTTAATGGTGTGAATAATTAATTTCACATTTGAATATTATCTTGATCCTTATACAGCACATCCACACATCTACCAACTATAGGTACATACAAGTGCAAAAGTGCAAACATGAAGGGAATGCACTCGAAATCCATAAATGCAACAAGTGCTACAACAAACATTCAGTATTTGTATCTCAATGCAAATATTACGGGTACAAATACACTTGAAATGAGACAATGCAACACATGCTAAAACACACACAAAAGTCAAACTACAAACTTTAAGAGAAATTTGCTCCCAATCCTGAAACGTTGACAATAACAAAACACATATACAGGTGAAAGTATACATGTTAAGAGAAATGAAGAGAAAAAAGCAAATACCACAACACACAAGCTGCTAGATACACTAGATAATGAAAAGGCAACGAGATGAAGTGATAAACAAAAGATCCACAAGGTCAGAGCTGTCATCACCACATTATCATACGTGTATTATTAACACAATATCGTTATTTCATTTTTAAAAAATGTGACGTTTATGATCAACACCTGTACATTGCATCACCCTTATTCTGTTTTTCTGTCTCAGTATTTGTGCTTTTGCTCTTGTGTATATTTTACATCAATGTTCTAAATGAGAGTCCTCACCCAGCTGATGTTTTAATCAGGAGATGGAGTGAGATGTTTCTACCTCATCGGAACATCTAAGGAAAAGATGCGTTCATGTGTTTGACTAACACATGAATATCAGTATCGGTTTGATATTGTTATTGTTCGCTTGAGGTAAATAAAGGAAGCTAATGGGCTGAATGGACTGACTGTGACTCTGTTTTCTCTGACAGATCGACAATGGGCTGATGGTGGGCAACAGCCAGGTGATTTTTGAGAAGGCAGAGAGTTCTTCCCTCACACTTGTCGGTATGTTCCTTCTTTCTCCCCACAGGAAGCTGATGTTTCCCAACACTTTATTGAGTCCAGCTCCAGGCTAAGAGCAGGGAAATGAGTCATTAAATCGCAGGGTAAATATAGCCAGAATCACCTTTTGCATTATTTTATAAATGTAACATGGACGGTTTAAAAAGCTGGATTTCATGTTGCACAACCATTAAACTCATGTAACAGTCCTTCGTCTATTTTTGCTCCACAAGATGGCAGTAAGAGGACATCACAGTTTTCTCTTACAAACACATGTTTTCTGAATCTCCCTGTCTGAGCAGCAAAGACTGACCTGTTGACCAAACTTGGTTTTTAATTCATTACTGACTTGCATCTTATACTGTATATCTAAATCAAACCCTGAAGACACAAACATCCTATAAACATGGTTTACCTGCAGAGCCTTTTACAGATATCTTACTCTTTTCCCTCATGTAGTCACTGGCTTTAAAATTTATTTCCGAGATGTGCAGGCTAAGCTGTTCCCCTCTGTGTTTTCACAGGTAAGGCAAAGACCAAGGAGGCTCGACAGACAATCATCAACCCAGACTGGAACTTTGAGAAGATGGGAATCGGAGGTCTGGACAAGGAATTCTCTGACATTTTCCGCAGAGCCTTTGCTTCCCGAGTCTTCCCTCCGGATATTGTGGAGCAGATGGGTGAGAAACCTTGTCTCTATCTTCACTCCCTTTTTGTCATGTTTTATATTTTATCATGCAAAATTACATAGGGTTTTTTATTGTCCTCTATGTCCACCATCCTAATTAGACGATTGTGAGACAATTTGTCTCTATTTTTAAATGTATTTATGAGATTTAAGATTTTTCTGTCCTCTGTAGACATATATTCAATGCAGGTACTTTCACTTAAAGGTCCCATATTGTAACAACAAGTCGGTGAGCCAATCAGAAGAGAAGCTCGGAGCCTCCTCTCCTCTGATTGGCTCACCGACCTGTTGTTACTAGAGCTCCAGAGAGAAGCCTGAGAGCGGAGATGTAAAACTACATTGAGATGGTTTTTGGTTGTTAAAACTTCTTATGGGTCAAGACTTCAAATAAAACACAGGAGAAAACCTTTAAATGTTTAAAGTTAATTATAGCAAGAAATGTATTTTATAGATCAGACATTATTTGGATTGCAAGTAATTTTCTGTAATGTTATTCCCTGCAGTAGCAAAATCTAATATGCAGTAAAACCATGGAGGAAACACACAGACACACACACATGCACACACACACACAGAAACAATAACATACAATAGTTTTTCATTGGTTTTATGATTCATTTTATTAATCCAGCTTCTTCTCCCTCTGGCTCTGAGCAAATAAAACTATTTTATAACACTAATTTATCTTTTTTCTTCCCACTGTCTTTTCCTCTCTTCTCCTCCCTCATCCATGCTCTGTCCTCTGACTTCTTCCTTTATTTCTTCCATCCCTCCTTCCTGATTCTTCTTCCTTCTTCGACCTTCCACTTTTTTTCCTTCTTCCTCTCTTCCTCTTCCCTCCCGGGTTTCTTTGTTCCAGGGTGTAAGCACGTGAAGGGCATCCTGCTGTTTGGACCTCCGGGCTGTGGTAAAACACTGATGGCCCGACAGATTGGGAAGATGCTCAACGCCCGTGAGCCGAAGGTCGTCAATGGGCCAGAGATCCTCAACAAGTATGTGGGAGAGTCTGAGGCCAACATCCGCAAACTGTTCGCCGACGCAGAGGACGAGCAGAAGAGGGTGAGAGAAGCTCAGCGGACGTTTCTATATGTTTGATTTAAAAACCACAAAGCTGAATTGATTGTTTTAAAACTCCTGTCTCCAGCTGGGAGCCAACAGCGGCCTCCACATCATCATCTTTGATGAGCTGGATGCCATCTGCAAGCAGAGAGGCACAGGAGCCAGCAGCACGGGCGTGCACGACACCGTGGTCAACCAGCTTCTGTCTAAGATTGACGGCGTGGAGCAGCTCAACAACATCCTGGTCATCGGTGAGTAGCGTCAGAGAAACTGGAGAAACTTGTTTGATGAAGCAGAGCGTCCAGTTTATTTTATTTTTCAATAATTGTAGTGGCAAATGCCTTTTGTCTCCAAAAAGTGCAATACTGATTTTGGCTAATTATGATTAATATTGAGGTATACACATGAACATTTTCAACATAATTTATTTGTACATACGTGATATCTTACTCCTTTAAGCTCAGTTTCTTCCTGTCCTTCTCTCTCTTTCTCTCCAGGTATGACCAACAGACCTGACCTGATAGACGATGCCCTGATGAGGCCTGGCAGGTTTGAGGTCAAGATGGAAATTAGTAAGTGTTAAGAAAAAAACTCTTTCTTTGTTCAGCTCCCTCTTTGTTCCTCTAGGTAACACTAACAATATCACTGAAAATAATCTTAGCTTCAGGCTCCATAATTAAAGCTCTCTTACAGAATATAGAACTGTCTGTCATATTTATATTTATATGCTGAAATACATCTTCTTTGTTGAGAACACCACACCAGTAAAGCAGCACAGTGTCTTGTGAATAGAGACAAAAAACCTTTCTTTCTTTCTTTCTTTATTCTTTCCTTTCCTAACCTCTTTCCATCTTTTCCCTTTCCTTCCACCCGTCACTTCCGCATCCTCTAACCTCCAGGTCTGCCTGATGAGAAGGGCCGAGTCCAGATCCTGACCATCCACACCAACAAGATGCGAAACTTCAATCTTCTGGCCGGTGACGTCAACATCAAGGAACTGGCAGCTGAGACCAAGAATTACAGCGGTGCAGAGCTGGAGGGGCTGGTCAGGGCCGCTCAGTCCACCGCCATGAACCGCCACATCAAGGTCACTTGGCATTGTCAGACACACAGAGCTTTGCATTAGGATCAGGATGGTTACATCACCCAAAGCATGCTGGGAACTAGGTGGTAAAATTTCAAGAACATATTAAATTCATTAGAGAAAGCAAAAATAATAGAAGTGAATTAAATAGTAATAGTTGACAAAATAATCTTAATATCTTAAATAATAAACTCAAGATTTATATAGCCTATTCACGTTTTCTGGAGCTTTCAACCACATGTCACAGCCTTCATCAGCATGTGAAATTCATTCATCGCATTGAATTGTCATCATGTGACCTATTTACCAACTCTGTGACAAATAAGAACCTCTGATCCCTGATAAAGGGTGTGAGATGAGATGTGGTTAAAAAGCTCCGTAAAAAAAGCAGGTAATGTAATAATGTAACCATAAACATATATACACTTATCAAAATCAGAGATTACAAAGTGCTTCACCAGGATAAAATACAAAACAAACAACAAACACATGCAAACGAATTACTCAAGTTAAAAAATATTACCACTTTGTTATACTTGAAGTACCATCAACATTTTGTGATAGCGGTGCTGTTCTTGCTCTCCTCTAGCCGAAGGCACAAGGCCAAAAAATAAAAAAATACCTCAAGCAATTTCATTTATTTTTATTACATAAAACAATAAATAATGTAAAAATGTATACTTCAGTACCACTGTCATGTATGTCATTGTCTTCTGACTCTGACTTGAAAATGTTCAGGTCGCACAGAGAGACAGTTACTGAGCCGTTAACAGTTGTTTGTGCATATTCCTTCTCCAGGCCACATCTACAGTGGAGGTGGACATGGAGAGGGCAGAGAAGCTGCAGGTCACCAGAGATGACTTCCTGGGCTCCCTCAACAATGACATAAAACCTGTATGTACCAGTTGTTTTTGTTCCTAACTGCAGAGTACAGTACATTCCTGTCATATCAACACTCATGTTTGTTTGTTTTTTCCAGGCCTTTGGTACAAACCAGGAGGATTACGCCAGCTACATCATGAACGGCATCATCAAATGGGGCGACCCGGTCACCCATGTCCTGGATGATGGAGAGCTGCTGGTGCAGCAGACCAAGAACAGTGATCGCACACCACTGGTGGCTGTGTTGTTGGAGGGTGAGAAATCAAAAACTGTACAGTTTTGTAAATTATAAAATACTGTACTGTTTGACTGACATGAGCTTATCTGCACTTAATTACATAAACAACTTCTACTTGACCGCAGTGAATAGCTGCATGCATACTAATACAGACACATGCAGACAGTAACTTGTGCCCCTCCTTTCCTCCTCCACACACACACACACACACACACACACACACACACACAGGTCCACCCCACAGTGGAAAAACAGCTTTGGCAGCTAAGATTGCAGAGGACTCGCAGTTCCCCTTCATTAAGATCTGCTCTCCAGACAAGATGATTGGACACTCAGAGATCTCCAAGTGCCAGGCAATCAAAAAGGTAAGTGCTGGGATGGGTTTTAACCCTCACAGTATGTCAGCAAACAATGAAACATTTACATTCAGAACAACGGCTTATTGAACTGTTCCATCTGTTTGAAATCATTTTTTTATTTAACTGCTCCCTTCCCTTTCAACACTGACTTTGTTTTTCCCGTCCATTAATGTCTTCCTATCTTCACTCTTCCCTCCCTCGTCTGTTTCAGGTCTTCGATGACGCCTATAAGTCGCAGCTCAGCTGTGTGGTGGTGGATGATATCGAGCGTCTGCTGGACTACGTCCCTATTGGTCCTCGCTTCTCCAACTTGGTCCTTCAGGCTCTGCTGGTGCTGCTGAAGAAAGCTCCACCCAAGGTCAGCTTCATAAGACGCCAATACAAATGCTGTTACTATACTGTTGATTCAAGTTGACTCCTAGATATCTCTATCTACACTGTGCCTCTTGACACGCATGAATTATCGACTTATATTACCTTGACAACGGACAATTAACCTTCACTCATCAGGGGAAATGACTGGAGAACGTGTTGCGTTGTGTGTGTTTAGGGTCGGAAGCTCCTCATCATCGGCACCACCAGCAGGAAGGACGTGCTGCAGGAGATGGAGATGTTGGACGCCTTCAGCACCACCATCCACATCCCCAACATCTCCACTGGGGAGCAACTCGTCGACGCCTTAGAGGTTTATACACACACTTATACGCATGAACGCAATCACAGGTGTTCATTACCATCTAGTCAAATGTACACACACGTGGATACTTGAAGGTAAAGATGCTCACAATTGTGCGCCTGTACAAGGACACACAGACGGATGCGATAAATTATACATAGCCATCCTCAAGAGCACATGTTCATGCACACACACACGCAGCCTTGGAAAAAAAGATTGGTGTGTGTGTGTGTGTGTGTGTGTGTGTGTGTGGAAAAACTATTCACAAACGCCACAAAGAAACTGTGAAGTGGCTCAAACATAAGGATGCTTTCACTGGCTCTCTTGCTTTCTTTTCTTTATTTTGGAGGTTTTGAAGTTGTTATTAAAAACCCTCACCTCTCTATGTGTGTTGTTGTTGTTGTTGTTGTTGCAGCTGCTGGGGAGCTTCACAGATAAAGAGCGGGCCAGCATCGCACAACAGCTGAAAGGGAAGCGAGTCTGGATCGGCATCAAGAAGCTCCTCGTGCTCATCGAGATGTCGCTGCAGGTACAGACCGGTCACCAAGGCAGTCGGACTCAATACGACTTCCGTTTCACTTCCATTTGCTTCAATTCAGTATTGACTCAGTCAGAGATATTTCAGTTACAATACCAATCTTGCTTTGGATATGAATGGGATTCTCAGAGTGCGTGTCTGCATGTGAATGCAGGAATATTACAGTCAAAAGCAGTTAAAACTGGTCTGTTGTGTTTGTATCTCACTCTGTACACTTGGTCAGAAAGACACTATAATTACTATTCCACAATAATACCCTTAGTCAGTTATATCTTTGTGCCACCAGAGAACATAAGTACATAAATGCAAACAATATGTCTTTTTCTTTCTTGGTCCTGACAGAATGGTCCTCGGCAGAGAAGACATACTGTATGTGTTAAACATAGGTGTGGCAGAAACAATGCACACCACTACCTCACCTTTATATGAGGGGTTTTAGGGGAGACTGTGAAATCTGTCCAACACCAGATCCAGATCTGTTCAGTCAGGTCAATATTACAGTCTGTACTCAGTAAATCTGATCCACACTGGAGCTGTTCCGGCACCAGGTCATGAAAATCTTTTTTCACTTGAACGTCGTCGTATTTTCTTGCTGTGAATTCAAGAAGAAGATTCGTACCACTTTCAAGTCTATACAATAAGAAGCAGCTGATTAGCTTAGCTTAGCACAAAGAGAAAAACAGCTAGCTTGGCTTCGTCCTAAGGTAACAGTGTCTCCCTACCAGCACCTCTGAAGCCGAATTCAGACTGACTTCAGCCCTGCAGCTGAACGGACTGTACGAACATGAATGTGAGGAATGCAGTAATTTTGAACATTTCACAACAGTCTGCCTTCATCTCAAAGAAAGAACTGACGGCCTTTGATCATGTCACTGTCCAGCGAGAGTATTGAGCCACTACAGTACAGGAGACCTCCATGTTGGCACCAACTGTAGTTGTGGGGAGATTTCTGGCGTGACTGTGGGCCCAACATTGACTTTTGCCTGTTATTGTTACCACCGTTTGTTTCTACTGTCAACAGGCTGTTCAGTCTCTCTCTCCTTCTGCTCCCTTTTTCTGTTTCTAGATGGACCACGATTACAGAGTGACCAAATTCCTGTCTCTGCTCAGAGACGAGGGGGCGTGAGTACAACCGCTTCACCAATTAACTGTCATTTCATTTTCATGGCTTGTAGGCGGCCTCTGTCAGCTTAAACCCTCTTCCTTTACTCTCTCATATTCTTCGCATTTTATGTTTCTCCATTAACCTGTCAGCTCGTTTTCTTTTACACCATCAGGAGTTAAACACGGCTCTGTAATGACACATAAAAAAAAAAAGATAAAGAAAAAAAAGATTGATTTTGAAGGCTGCAATCTTGTATTTCCACGGCACACACTCACAGAAAGGGGATGTTCCCACTTTCCTAAGAGTGCGGAAGAATAGCAAACAATCAGTGACCTCTTCTCATCAACTACTGACCTTAACGGCTTTATTCTGCAATCACCAGGTTGAATGAAGGAGATCAAATCAGAATTTAAGGTTTCCGTCTCTCTCGCTGTGCTACCGGTAAGGTCAACAGCAATGCAATGAATGAGCTTAGTGCCCGAAGGTTAGGATAACAACATCTGTAGCTTGCCAGTTAGCTCTTAGATTAGCATTTACACCTTTATTTTCCCCTACTTCTGGCTTATAGGATTTTGATTGCAGTAGCAGCTTCACGTAAACACCCTTTGTTCTGTTGTAGTGTGTATAGTGAGCTATATAGTATATGGTATAGTATAGTATATTTTCATTGTGCACAATTCACGCTTCTCTCGTTTTAAAGCTAAAAAGCACGACCATCAAACGTAGTATAAACCTGCCCCTGCACTTCCCATTATCATTATCAATCATAATCTTTTTAGCCAAATATTTTATCTAATTGATCTAACATGTCATGCAAGCACTGAAAGCTTCCCCTCCATCTTTATGTTACAGTCCAAGGCAATCTTATGACCCACAGCATTATACGTCACGTGTATTCATTTCTGAACCATGTAGTAATGTAGTATGTGATTCTAAGATTTCCTTTAGCATGTTTTGCTTTTATAGCTCAAATGTAATTTTCACTGCTGCTCCTGGAGGTGTCCGGAGTGGTGGTGTTGGGGGGGGGGGGCACTAAATTATTAACGATATTAACGTTAGCTTGCCAATATATGACCTGCCTCACAAAAGGATTAAAAGAGTTAATATAATATAAGGTCAATATAGAGTATCGGACCTGACATTTACAATTAACATGCTGTTTAATAAATATGTAAAGTGGGAAGATTTTAAATTACACATCACAAAAACTCAGTGTACGTATGTTGTGTTTCGGGTGGTGGCGGAGCCTTGGCACAGAAACATCATGGCAACAACATTGTTTAGACTGAATAACCAAGGTAACTGTTGATACTCATTTTACAGATGTGTCCCCCTCCTTTTTGGAATTTGTCCCCAAGTCTCACTCCTTAAAAAAAACAAATGTACCTGACATCCCATACAGAGGATCAGGATTTCAGTGGAGCCAAGAGGACAAAGAGTAAAGGCTCCTTGTGTTGGCTCTCTTCTTGTGTCATAGGCCGTTAAATCCTGCTCATCGCACTTTGTTTTTCTCCAGACACGGCCCAGCGTTGTGCTGGTGTTGTGTGAGTACACTGGAGTTTGTTGGGGGGGGGGGGTTGCTAAGTAGGGCCCCTCTTACATAGGAAGTCTATGCACAGGACACCAAAACAACTTTTGCCTTTCTTCTTCTGCTTCTTCCTTTTTCTAGTGACCGCAGCTTCTATGAGTAGAGGGGCTGAAAGGATGAAGCAATCATTTTGCCATCAACAGGACACCCATGGGACAAAAGGGGGAAGAGGCAAAGAAGAAGAAGAGATCTTCCTCCTGTCACCCACTGATCCCATCCATCTAAAAGAGGAACACACAAGTCCTCTTTATCTCAGCATGTTTCCATAGGCAGTATCACTGTATCACATTCCTCCTACTCATCTTCGTCAACTATTGACATTTTCCCGCAAACTACTGGACGTCCTACTGATACAAATCTGTTATCTGTAACGAAATTGCAATAGATGATTGTAAAAAGTGCTGTTTTGTGCATCAGGCATAGAAATAATTTAAAAAAAAATAAAGAGTCATGTATGTTTTTAGCTATAGTATATTACGTGTATTTGTTGCATATCTCTTGTCTAGCTAAAGGTAGTAATTGATAGTACGATATGTATCCTCACAATCACAACCAGTATAAAAACGATCTAAAAGTGACACAGATCCTGAATCCGTTTGAATATTAAGAATCTACGAGAGGCTTTTAGTGAATATGTAGTGGCTGTAAAAAAAAAAACAAGCTGTTTCATGTGTAAATGTAATCCCTTTAAATATACAATATGTTCATGTTCTGTAAATAGTATATATAGACAAAAGTATATCATGAAAATAATTTAAATGATCAGTCTCAAGTCTATTTGGTACTTTAACAGTATGATTCTTCTTCCCTATTGCTCTGGAGATGTTGACTTTACCAGGTGACTGTAATAGTGAAAGTAAATGTTGGATTGTTTGGATTGTTGGCCTGTCTGTCTGTGTTGTGTACAGTACAGTTCAGTTCAGTCGAGCTAGTGTAGCTTTGGCATCGTCAGTGTTAAGAATTAAAAAATAAAAAATATCTGCACTTTTGACAAAAAAAAAAACAAAAAAAACTTTAGTACTTATCTCAGCGGTTCTTCGTGGGAACTCGAGCTTGTGTTTTGCTCATGTGCATAAATGCTGCATGTGTCCTGTGCATATGTGAGCGTGTGTGTGAGCAGTTGCGAGTGTGCTTTTGAATGTGAGCATGTGTGTGTTTAAGTGTGCGTGTGTGTGTGTGTGTGTGTGTGTGCATCTGAATCCAGGTTTGGACAGTCGGGGGTTAATTTGTGGGGTTTTTTTTTTCTCATGTCACATGTTCAGTGCTTATTGTCCAAAGTTCTTGTTTTGTTCTGACCATTGTTGATATGTGTGTGTGTGTGTGTATGTGCGTATGTAAATATATATCAACATGCAGATGTATTATTGCAATAAAAAAACACGGATGCACAAGAAAAACACACTTCCAGTATCTTGTCTGGTCACATTTATTGATGGATCCATGTGTAGGTGTAGAATATTCACTCTCCCTTTAGCTCAGTTTTTTGTCTCTACCAACTTTTTTAACCCATATCCAAAAGTAATATTTGTACATATAATGAATTTCCATATATGATATCCTGTATATGTACATATAAAACAAAAACATATGTAAAAATTATTCTTTTTTAATTTTCAACTCTGCTGCAGTGCTGCACAGTGCACTTGCAAATGTGTGAAGTTGATTCAGTGATGTGTCCAGCTACAAATAAGCACTGAACGTTGTGCTGATAATGAGGTGGATGCATTGTAAGGACTGTGATGTCATGTTTTGCTTTATATAGTGAAGCATTTTGTGTTAAGAGGTAAGAAGATTTTTGCACACTGAAACCATAGCAGCTAAATGCTCCATTATGTTCACAGGCTAGTCTGTAACTGTGTGTGCCTGCTGTTTGGTGCTGAGCAGGTTGTGTACTGCAGCTTTTCAGGGCTTTTTCACTGCCTGCAGTGGCTGAAAACAACGTTAAGAGAATGGTGACAGTGAACCAAAACAATAAAGTTGTGGTACGCACGGCTAAACAATCAGCTGAAGCTCACTATAAATGATAATAATTGATCATTTTAATTGAGGTTCGTCACTACAAGTGACCGCTGTAACATCTTCAAATTCTTATTATTACAGTACATGCCTAACAACTAAATGCCTAACCCCAACCCGTACCCTAACCCAAGCCCAAACCTAAATCTAATCTTAACCCTAATACCAAGTCCTGTGGCGCCCCAGTGGGTCACCTGGTGGAGCAAATACCATTTAGGCTCAGTCCTCCAAAGCCGATTCAGACCCTTTGCTGCATGTCATCTTCTCTCTCTCTCTCTCTCTCTCTCACTGTCTCTGTCATAATAAAGCCAAAAATGGCATAATATAATAACTTGAAAAAAAAAACCAACCAAAACAATACTTAACCCTCAAACAGCCAAAAATGTCTTCACAACAATGATTTTGAGATAAAAAAAAAAAAAAAAATCGCCCAAATTTACTGTAATAACAATGCACCATATTCTATTATTTTAATTACAGTTTTATCTTTTGCACCCAAAATGAACTGATGCAGCTGCCAGATAAATGTAGTAGAGTAAATACACATTTATCTCTGAGCAGGGCAGGTAGGCTACAATAAATAGAAAGTAAAGTGAAGTGTAACACAAAATTATACATAAGAACAATACATACATGTTTCCCAAGTGTATTACATGAACACCTTCTTCCACCACTCATTTTGCTTTAGTGTGTCCCAGGTTAAAAACGGGTGACATTCCCCTTTAATTCTCCAGGATCTCCGGATTATGCAACCCCCACCCCCCCCCCCCCCCACCCCGGCGCAGTACTCCTCTCCTGCCGGTAGAGGGAGCTGCGGAGCCTGTAGATGAATCATCCCCGGCGGCAGCTCCGCTCCTCCTGACCCGCATTCACCCGTACTGTACAGGCAGGGGGGAGGACCGAACACAGAGAGCTAATAAACGCTGTAGAGTTCCCCTGCAGACCGTGGCCATGGCCTTGGCAGTCCTGGAAAGACACGGCGCTCGCGTCTCCACACACCTGATAGCGGATTGAAAGGGGGGCTACCACCGGGAGAGGCATTAGCTACGCCGTTTGAGACGGTAAACCAACTAGACTCGCTTTTACCCCCTTCGTGTTTTTCTTCTGCTTCTTCTTCACGTGTTAATTCGACTGTTTATGTTGACGGCACAAGGGGCGGTTTTGTATCGGAGCTCTGGTGAGTGGTGCCAATCTATCGCAGTTACTCCGGAGCAAAACACCGCGAAAGCCGCTTTACAGGGACGGCGGTGCAAGGTGAGTGCTGTCCTCACGTCAACCCGGGCGCTGCGCCGGCCTCATTACTACTACTGTACCTATAGGCTAATGCAAAGAAGCCCGGCGGAGTGCGGCTCTCTAACATGTCCTCCGTGTGTCATCTGAGAAAGTATTGCTGCCGGTTTGACCTACACGACTGCCATGTGCTCCCTCTACTGTCGTTACACTGAGGGACCCGGGTCATGCAGGGCTCCAAAGTGCACGGTTAAAGTTGGGACTAAATAATCATGGCAACACAGAAACCTGTTAACGTGCACTCAGCCCTACGCGGCTGCACAGCGTGGAAATGTGAGAGAAGACCCTCCAGAGGAAATGTGAGGGGTACACTTTGGGCTTTTGTGCCAAGATGTTGGCAGCAGATAAGCCTTATGTATATACATGTATATACTTGTATATGTTTCCCTCCCACTGTGCGATTTACTGCGCAGCCACTTTTCACATTCCTTTGCTGTGACATCCAAGCAGGTCTGTGTGTGCCAAAATGTGCTTGAAATGCTCGTGTAGACTTGATATGAATCATGCATGTGTTACAGGACAGAAGGAAATGTGAAATGTGGTTATCAGCCTATAGGCAGAGGCGTGGTGTGTGTGTGTGTGTATGATTGAGTTGCATGTAATGCCAGTAGTTTGTGTGGGTGTGGGGGCAGGATAGGTTAGGTTTACACTGCAATATGATTATTGTTTAATTCCACAATGCATCATCTACTTCATTTTTTTTTTCCGCAGTAAGATGTAGTTCTGTGATTCATTTCAGTCTGAGATTTGTAGTTACAAACACAGATCCTGGTTCACAGCTGGTGACCAGGGGAAACATCAGAGCGGTGCGCTGGAATCAGGTGAAGATAATGAATAATTATCTCCTGCTCTGTGAAGGTTCAATGTTCACAATAAATGTCCACACGGCACGCTGATGGTAAAGGTTCATCTGCCTCGAAGCGTGCATCATGCAAGACGTTGTATATCATCTGACCCACTGTCACTCCACTCTGTGTGTGTGAGTATGTGATCATCTGGAAGAAGCATGACACTTTTGATGTGGCGTCACCTATTTATAACTTCTAAAATCTTGAAATCGGGTTTAAGAAATTCAATATTTTCAAATGAAGACGACCAGAGAGGAAAGGCGGAAAACTCACATAACCATGACTCCACCTGGAGTGCAGGAAGCTGGTCGACATGAAGTCACACAGGTGGCGTACTCTCAGCTCGCATTGTTTACAAGAAAACCCAGTTATCCTTATTCATTTTCAGCTTCCTTTCAAAGATTTATCAGTCTGTGTGAGTGCTTCCTTCAGAGTTGATGGGTTTTTTTTTTTTTAAACAGCTTTACAAGTAATGGGACAATAGTTAATAAATCCCATTAAGACAAATAAAGCTAAAAATGCGATTGATATGTTTAGCAGGTTTATGCCAACTGTTGGCACTTAACCAGCATCATGGAAAATAAACCTATATTTATTTTGTTATTACATTTATTAATCCCCTTAAAGAAATCGCACTGAAAATGCTCCTGGAATGAATTAGAAACCAAGGGAAGTCCATGTGGAAACAGTGTGTGTAAACAAATACATGCAAAGCCGTAATCCAACAGCCAGACTTGACCTCTTTTGACGTCTATCCCTAACACCCTCCCGTCCCCTCCCCTCCCCTCCTCTCTCCTCCCGTCTCCTCCGTTCCCATAGCTCGTCGCTGCAAGGCAGTTTCCTGGTTTTTCCGAGGTAGGCTGAGGCTTAATGTATAGCGAGCGTGGAGTGGGAGGGGGGAGGTGAGGAGAAAGGGGGAGGGGAAGACAGGAAAGAAAACCGGTCTCTCTCTCTCTCTCTCTCTCTCCCCCTGCCTGGCTCTTTCTGAGAGAAATCAGTTGCATAACAGGGGCCGTGGAGGCAGCCACTGCTCCAGTCCCCGAGGTCCCACGGCCTGCTTACATCACACAGATGTAGACAGAGGAGAGGAGGGGCTTACAGTCATACACACAATTGGCCAGTACTGAAAAATCCTGAGTGTGTGCCCTAGTAGACCATCACAAGATACCAGAGTGACATGTTCCCCACACAAGTCCGAAACCCCCAATGACTCAGTTCACAGTGATATGAAACAGATAAATCCTCGCTGCTGAGAAGCTGAAACCAGTGAATGTTTGGCATTTTTGCTTAATTTGTTGTCAAATAATTGTTTGTTGATCATCTAATCTTGCGTCGCAGCTGTTGTTTTCATGAATAATCTGCGGATTAGTGATTCAATTTTTAGAAAATATTCAGAAATCTAGCTTTGCCTGACTGACAGTCCAGAGGTATTTAGTTTTTTGTCATTGATTTAAAAAAGAAAAAGTATTTATTGAAAAAAGAGATATCACTAAAGTTCAGGTATTCCAGGAATTTAGAGATGCATCTCCACAAAGTTGGGAGGTTTATAAGAAACAGATTAAGTAACATGTGATCTACTTTTCTGATGAATCGGATCGCGTGATTAAAAGGTGCTCTAGTTAGATATTTGATTTTAAAAGTTCAGTCACTGCTAATCAGCCCATTGTCAGTGTTGACCTGCTAGCCCGCTAACTGCAGCTGGCGACGACAAGTCAGTTGTTCTGCTCTGCAGCCTCGGCGAGTTTGCACACGTACCAGTTCTCCACCTGAGCAGAACGAGGACGGGGAACCTGTCTGCAGGCGGGACGAGCCAGGCGAGCTGGTTAGCTGGTGTGACACAATTTGTAACAGAAGACTAACTAACTAACTAATCCTGACACCATGAGTTCAGCTGAATCTGGCAGTATAGTTGCGATTCAGATCGTGGATTGTCCATCTACCCAAAAAGATTATGATATGATGTTTTGGCTGGATCGCACACCCCTAGGGTCAAAACCCTGGATCCTACAGTTCCCATAATGCAACTTAATGAGATCCCCTACCTCCTAAATACCCAGCTAAGGCCCCACTCCTCCAGTTACTAACTGTTTTAGTTCTACTCCAAAGTTTTATTCTGAATTAATGACTGAGAATAACAGAACTGCAACTCCTCTCGTGTCCACAGCTGTTTTGTCTGATCAGTCCTCCGCTCA